CGTACCACCTATTGTGACATTCTGAAAAAGATACAATATCACTTGTAGTTTTCATGTCTAGCAGTTTACCTGGTCCCAAACATAAAAAAAAATCATGCAATTCAAATTGAGAGACAGTTTATGAAGAAATTGGCCTCAGAGTCTCCAAAACTGTCATGAAGGGCTAAAAAAAAATAGACTGGGTGATCATTCCCTGAATAGATAAAAGGAGGCTAAAGAGACATGACAACAAAATGTGCTATGTGATTTTTTTATTAGATCTTGTTATGTGGGATAGTGTCTTTGTTCTGAGGAGACATATGCTAATATATTTAGAAATAAAGTTTCATGAGATCTGTAACTCATATGGAAAATGTTAACACTTGGTGAATCTATACTAAGGGTGTACAGATATTCATTGTACTATTCTTGCAAATTCTCTGCTGTTTTAATAGGTCAGAAACAAAAAGTCATACAAGCTTTGGAAACATGAATTTATGATAGTATTTGTGCAATGTGCTTTGTTACCATTGATTATCACGTGTGCTGTGTTCTAAAGAGTATATTAACTCAGTGACAAGTATTTACACTTTACAAGAAAGTAAAAGAGGATATAATAGATGGAAAAAAATTGTGCAATCATTATAGGAGTAATTAATTAAAATATTATTTAATATTTATGAAGAATTGAATTCTTAAATGACTACATCTATACTTTTATCTAGTTTTTAAAACTCTCCTATTTTATTTTCATTTTTAATTACACAAAATTTAGCTTCTCACTGGCACTTGGAAATTTTAAGGTTCTAATATCAAATTGGGTTTTGAACATGTCTTGGTATTTTGTAACAACATCATCCTCTTTGCTCAAAGTATTATATCTCTCAATTGAAAATGAGAGATAGAAGCTAATTTTAAATTACCATTAATTTTGCCATTAATTACAGCATTACATATTACATATGTGGTATTCATACCAGAAGAAGAAAAGAGTGAGGGTCTTAACTCTTTCCCACTCACCATTTCCTCTTTGTCTTGGCTCCAGGTGACCTAACAGGTGTGGGTTATAATTTACATGCTCTTGGATTCCAACCTTGGTCTCACCTGAAATAGCTGTCCACAAACTGTTCAGTAGTGCTTTTTTCTTCTTTTTAAAAAAACATATATACTTTTTATTACTGGAATTAGGTTTTCTGTTTTCTTAATTACTTCATTGAAGTATAATTTACACATTTTAAAGTTCACCTATCTTAATGTTCAATTTATCAATGTTTTAGGCAATGTAATGAGTTGTATAATCATCACCGCAGTGCAGTTCTTGAACATTTCCATAACCCCAATAAGATTTTGTTTGCAATTAATCCCTGTTCCTACTCTCAGCCCCCTGCAACCACTAATCTTCTTTCTGTGTTTATAGAGTTGCTTTTCTTGGGCATTTCATACAAAAGGAACCTTACAGTGTGGTCTTTGTTTCGGGTGTTTTTTCACTTAGCATAGTGTTTCTATTTATTCAAGTTGTAGCAGGGATCAGTACTTCATCTTCTCTTATTGTTGAGTAGCATGCCATTTGAATGGATATATCACATATTATCTTTTTCTATTCACCAAAGCAATTGATGGACATTTGTGTTATTTCCAGTTTTGAACTATCGTGAATAATGCTACTGTGAACGTTCATGTGCAAAGCTTTGTGTGTTCACGTCAATTCATTTCTCTCGAGTAGATACCTAGGAGAAGAATTGTTAGGTTATTTGGGAACCTAACTTAAAAAGTTAGGAACTTTTTAAGAAACCGCCAAACTGTTTTTCAAAACAGTTGGCCCACTGTACATTTTACACCAATGAAGGCAAGAGAAGGGTTTCAGTTACTTACATTCTTGTCAACATTTGCTTTTCTCTATCTTTTTTTAAAAGATTTTATTTCTTTATTTTTAGAGAGGGGAAGGAGGAGAGAAATGTTAATGTGTGGTTATCTCTCATTCACCCCCTACTGGGGACCTGGACTGTAACCCAGGCATGTGCCCTGACTGAGAATTGAACTGGCTACTCTTTGGCTCAATCCACTGAACCACAGCAGCCAGGGATGTCTGTTTTTTTTATTATAGAATTTCTAGTAGATTGAAAATGCTATTCAATTGTGATTTTAATTTGCATCTTCCTAATGACTGATTTGGGACATTTTTTCATATGCTTATTAATCAATGCATTTGTATATCTTCTTTGATGAAATGTTTTTCAAATATTCTGCTCCTTTTTAAAATTTGGTTGTCATCATATTGTTGATTTGTAAGAGTTTATTATATATTGACAATATAATTCCTTTATTAAATATGTGATCTCACAGTATTTTTCCAACTCTATAACTTACAGTGTCTTTTAAGAAGAAAATGTTTTTGAATTTCAATGAAGTTCAATTTTTCTGTTTTCATTTTTATGGGTGATAAAACTGGTAATTTTTGAAAGGAAGAAAATTCAATAGTTTTGTGGCTAACAGGATATGTTTTTCATTTGCATTTTGGTACTTGTGAGGCCTTCTTCTGGAAACATTCACAATGCCATGTACAAATATAAACAAATTAATATTATCCAACCTGGCTTGAATGTCAACAGTATAGATTCATTGGCAATGCATAATTTTATGTTGCTCCTTTAAAAGCATAGACTCTGGAGAGTTAACTAAAATGTCCTTTGGAAAGCATCCCCATTTCTATGGTTTTGTAGAATGCTGTATTCCCAATGTATTCCCACTTTTTAAGACCTCTAATTCCAAAATGTTAATGAAAACTGCAAAGAGTGTCACTGGGCCTACTTTTAGTCTCACTGGGAACATTTCCAAGAATAAGAGCATCTTTAAGATATTTCCATTATTTTTTGGACTTAGGGTGCTGAAGCCAGGTGAGTAGATAACAATGGATATATGCGTGTATTACCTAATTGTTTATTTGATCTTCTTGTGGTCAAGAATTGTACCATTTTGCTGTCCTCTGTTCCATCAGAAGCTAGAAATTGTAAGAAATAGCAGAACCTGGATGACTGTTATCTAATTTTAGAAGATAAGTAGTAAGTAGTGTGGCTTCTTTTAGCTAACTCTTCTTTTTTAGGAAAAATAGACATAATTAAAATTTTTCTCTCTAGTAATTAATGAATAAATATTTGTTGAGTACATACTGTTCATGGAAGTACGTACATACTGTATATGTAATGACTTCCAAGTTTATATCTCCAGGCTGGAACCCCAAAGTCCAGGTTTCTCTCTACAACCTATTCAGCCCGAATGTCTACTGGACATGTCAAAAACAGCTCCTGCCCTTCTCCCACCCCCAAATTGCTCCTCCCATGGAGCAATGACCTTTTTTAATCTCAGTTAATGTCAACTTTCTCCTTGAAGTGCTCAGGAAAAAATTTGGAAGTCCATCCTTTTCTACTACATTTCTTTCATACCCCATATCCAATCCATCACAAATCCTATTGGTTTCAAGTAGAATATGAAATACTGAATAGGATTCTAAAACAGAAAGTGGACATTAGGGAAACGCATAGAATCTGAATAAACTGTGGAGTTTGGTTAATAAAGTATCAGCATTGTTTCATTAATTATGATAATATCAATGTAAATTTTCAAAACGAGGGAAATTTGGGCATGGGCATAGGAAAACTGTGCTATTTTATCACTTTTCACCTCTCTGTAGATTTAAAAATACTATAACATTTTTAACAAATTAAAAAAGAACACAAACAAATGGATTCTGCTGGTTTCTTGCTCACAAGAGCTTGTGGCTGGTTTGCTGAAGCCAAAGGGATGGAAAGTCTGATTTGCTGTTTTGATGGTCTGAGTAGAGGGTGTGGTCAAATCAGCAGAAGGCCGTACACGTTTTATTCTTCCTGCAGAGAGATCTGTCAACCTATCAGCACTATTTCATACTTTATTATGCTGAGAAAAATTGGTAACCCGAAGTCAGCTCAGTCTTTTCATAACAATTTTGTCAAATAATTTATCTCTAACAAATATATAATTTTGCTTATTCTTCCTGAAGAACAAAGTTTTCTAATTCTAGAAAAATAGCAGAAGTTCTGCTTTTAAAGAGTTTGCCATAATTCTCTATATACTATCCAAGTGGAAGCATGTATTTTATTTTATATAGAATACATCATTGATCTGAATAAAAATATATATTTTTTAAATCAAGAGAGCACTAGAGAATGCTGTTAGAGTAAGGGTGGAGGAATCAGCAAAGGTTCAAAAAAAAGGGGGAAATCATCCAGGCCTTGAAGCATTGTAGGATTGTCTGTATTAGTAGTTCTATTTACTAAGCAATCCAGGATTTATGCCAGTTACATAAAGCTAGGAATGCACTGCTGTTAGAATCGGGCAGGTGAGTTATTTGCTCAGATTGTCTTTTCTTGGCTTGTGATGGAAAAATAGGGGGAAAGGCGCAGTGTTGCCTGTAGAGGGAGTTTATGAAAATTTGTTCCCGTTCTTCGTAACTCCCTAGATGCCTGTGCCTTCAATCTTTCCCTAGAGCTATAAACAGTTGGAGACACTGCAAAGGATTTTAAGGATTAAAAAACTAAAACTTGCTAAGTGCTTTCAGAGGATCTCTCATATTCATGTTAAAGTGTGAAATGGGAAACCAAAGGTGGTCGTGGGGTTCCCTCACCCAGGATCCTCCTGTCTGGGACTGAACAGTTACATGATCGTAAATGTGAAAGGGTCTGCATATTGGACATATGATCTCCAAAGACAAATGCAGTTTTATAATTCTGGCAGTGTTGCCACACTGATGGGAGGAAAAGGTGAAGGTGATATTTCATCCACTGCTCCCAGTCTGTCCTTTCCTTACCTGACCTCTGAAATGGAGCCACTGGCCTTGAAAAGCCTGGTGTCTAAAATTAATATTCTTCCCCATCTGACTAAGAAGGCAACAGCTGAGCAACATGAGATCAAGGACCATATTAGTTTAAACAGGGGCTTAAAGTGGCATTTGAGAGAGAGGATACTTCTTTTCATAATGGAGACTTGTCTTTTCAGAAGAGTTATACTGACTGACAGTGAAGACTTATGCCATACAATTGTGTAGTCATTTTGAACTCTGAAAAACTTCCCTTTATCTGTTGGAACTTATACTCTACACTTGGAGTGGTCAAAATTATAGGATGTCCTCCTATAAATGGTAATTACTCTATTTTTCTAAATTGTTATAACCTCTCAAATGTCTTCTCTTCTTCTCCATGTTGCCTTAAATAACAAGTTGTACCAGACTCCAGGTAGGGTTTAACATTTAATTTTTCCCAAAATTATTGTATGTTGGACCTAAACTTTTGTTTTAATGTTACTTTTTTGTGCATTTCTGATTCAACTTACCATTTGCAATTACATGTTATATTTTAGTTGTAATTTGCCTTAGAAATAGCCATGCACTTCTGTTCTCATTTGAATAATGATTTTTTTCCAGGGACATTGGAAGAATTCTAATAGTAGTCTATAATGTGTCTTATAGAGTTCTGGTTGATACTATTTACATTTTAGTGTGCTTGGGTGTAAGATCTTCATGTGGCTAAACTGCATTTTGTAGAGCACTGAATCTTAAATAATTTGAACCTCAAGGTATTATGTTACTGTATGAGTTGAGGAAATGAAAGATGAAGTTTTCTGGAAATAATCAGATTATTTCAAACTGACAAAAGCTGGAAGAAGAAATGTTCAGAAAATCTCCAGCAGGGGGCCTCAGAAGTTAGAGGTGGGAAGCTTCCAGGAATTCAAATCACAGTCCCCTCATAATCAAGGGATGTGTCAATACATGCATGCATACATGCATGTAGATCTCCAGTATCAAAGCAGTATTATGTGTATTACCTAATTTGTAAGGAAAGGATTTCAAGGAAAGCACAAGGATTTTAACTCCGTGGCACTGAGCTGTTAATGAAGATGAAAAGAAAGGTATCTGGGTATCTTATCTATGTGAGAGGACTGTAAGGAAACACATTTCTTTTTTTAAAAAATGAACACCAAACATTTTAAAGTGTAGGCAGAGAAGGGCTCTTGGAAATGACTCATTTGGTGGAGATCTTTCCCCAGAGGAGGGCAAAATTCCCATGTGAGACCCTTTACACAGGAAGCTCTTCCTACTGAGGATGAGAGAAGCAAAATCTTCAATCCTAATTAAATACAAAGAAACTCTATATTCTGTATTTAAACTGGCCACTTGATATAAATATTATTTTACACAATGAGGAAATATTGTTACCTGGTGAAGCTTATGGTTGCTTCTTACTATTTGCTTTTGTAGGAACATGTAGGAAAAAACCTTTTTTCTTTTAAAGTTTTGTCATTTGAAACTCAATATTAATATTAACATTTCTCTTCCTGTTTTTGGATCCTGTATCTATTTTAAACAGAAGAGACTTCAAAATTTTCACCGGTCATGTTCCCAAAAGTCAAATATGTGAGTGATGAGAACTTTGTTTTCTTTCCTTACAGTCCAGAGGAGGGTGCAATCAAAAGCCACAACTGCGTCTTGATTTACAAATCAGGGACAGAAGGAGATGAAAACCACACTCCGGACAGTAACTTAATCAAACTCTCCACCAAGATATTAAAAGTGAAGAGACTGGAAGAAATCGCCACATGCTACAACAGTAACCACCTGGAGAAAATGGCCTTCTTCCAGTGCATGGACGAGGATGAGAAGATGAAATGTGTTCTGGAAGAAAGTTCTAGTGAACAGGATTCAGGATCTGAAAATAATGAGGTAATTGTGTGCTAATTGAGTCTCCTGAAAAGTATTAATTCTGCCTTATCTTTTCTTATATACGTCAGTAAAGATAGTCATTTATCAGACCCTTTGCAAATTCTACTTTGTCACTTGAGTGTAGAATTAGGGGAAATTTATAAATAGGCAAGATTTAATTTTGTTTCACTGACAATTATGCATTGTAAATTATATAATTGAGTTTGGTAAGTACTTAGAAGGCCTTTGAGTAGGCATCTCTACCTGCAGGTTCCATTGTAGTTAGTGGCTTCAAAGCTATGAAAACAAATTTATGGAAACACATTTCTTAAGAAGGATCATTTAAAAGGATGGATTTGGGCATGAAATTCTGAGGACTACTAGGGGTATAATTGCTCTGAGGAAGTTTTGAGTCTCCTTAAGACCTTAATCTAGTCACAGGGTAGATGGTAGAGTTGTTGACAGTGGTGGTCAGAGACAGCGATAAGCAAGCCTTGCCTGATGGCACTCCCATGTCTACACATGTGCAGCACAAGGGTGCTGATTGTGGCTGCTTGATCTTTGGCAAAGGGCTTCAACCAAGGGGTTGCCTCATCTGGATAATGGGATGACAGTTGTTGCGAAAATTAAGTGTGATAATGTATAAAAAGCAGTTAGAATAGCACCTGCCACCATGGTAAGCATTTAATAAATGTTAGTCAGCAACAATCCCCTCCCATACCTTCACTTAGTTAGTTCGCTCTCATAGATCCATACACAGGCAGTTCCTGGCCTCCCATGGGCCTCACAGCAGTTTGCCTATGCCTTTATTCTAGCACAAGCAATTGTTTCGAATGCATTTGTCACTTTTCTCTAGTATCACTCCTCCAGGTCAGGACCTCACATCTCTTGCCCTTGCATTTTCAGTTGCTTTCCCAGTAACTGGCACATAATAGGCCAAATAGGCAATAAAAAGATGTTCGTGGAAGGAACAGATCTATTTAAGTGAAATCTCCCTTCTGATTGAGGTCTAGGAGTCAATGTTTTATTAATCAGAGCAACTAATTTTTATTAAGCTGATTTGGGAAAGATCTTTTTTTGTCCAGCAGTATACTATGCAGATACAAAGGGCATTTCTAACAGACAATAGAATGAAAAAGCTGTTAGGAATACAAGGCAGAGGATATACTGGAGAGAAGTGAGTGAGGTCGAAACTTAGGCTTTTTTAGTACTCCACTTTCCCTATGAGTTAATATCTTGTTCAAGAGGTATACACCAAGAAGAAATTTCCACAGGCAAAGTTTCAGTCAGCTATGAAGGACTTCCTCATTACGGCTGTTACAGTATAAAACAAACAGAAGGATTTTTTCTGGTAATTAATTTCTGCTGGACAGAGAAGATAAAATATTCTTCTTGGATAACTTTGAAATGACAAACTATCTTAATAGTTTACATGAATTTGATCCTTTTTCCAGTAATGTTTTTCTCTAAATTCTGGTGAAATTTTTATAAGGAGACAACCTCTTTAAAGAGTGAGATGGTGCTAAGCTGAAACATGAACATTTTAAGGAAGCATTGTTTTTGTGATGAACTATTCTCAAATATTAGAAATCAAATTATTTGGTCATCAAATATTTTAGGATATTTTTGAAGCAAAGACTGAGAGCGTTGTTATCCATAAACCCTAAAAACATCCTTCACAATTAATTGGATGTTCTCTGTGTAACCTGGGCCTCCTGGCTTTGGTTCTTCATTCAGTGTGGGTGGAAGGTGGGAGGGAATTGCTAGTAGCTCCATACATCCCATTCAGCTGTTCTTTGTAAATGGCAAAGGGCCCAGAGATGTCAGCAATAAATTTCCCTGTCTCTTTCTTGCCTTGTGGAGGATATATGGGCACAAGAACGTGAGGCAGAGACCTCTCCTCCTTCCCATCACTGCCAAGGCCCTCTGCCGGAGGCTCTTGTTTGCCTAGTCAGCGGGTAGCCAGGAGGCTTTGGTAGTGGGTGGTGGAGCAGGGCACTCCAGCAGCTCAGATGTCATTGGGTATGTAGACAGAGCTAGACTGTGTCCCCATCTTCTTTTGGTTGGGAACACAGTAAATTATACTCTTTTCTCTCCAGGGATTATTTAAAAAATACTTGCCATAATTTTTTCCATGTATTCACCTTTTTCATCTCATCTCTCTTTGAGAAGATTAGCACTGATAATTATAGTAAAAACGTTATCTTTGGTGCACAGGAAAGAATTTACTCTGCCTTTTAGACACTATGTGATGTAGAAGCTATGTTTTGAAGGCTTGAAGTGCAGTTCTTTCTAGAAAAATCTTTAATCTCCAGTCCAAACAGGGCAAGATACATGTAAATTTAACAACTTGTATTTGTTAACATGTTTTGTAAGGCTCAGATTCTTCTTCTTTTCCTGCTCTTAGCCAGGTTTTTCTATTTCATTTATTTTTCCTTCACTGGATTTATCAAATACCCCATATTCTACTTTTCTAGCACATTTGTTCATTTAATTTTTTTGCTTTCCTTTTTATTTTGTTTTGTAATAAATTTTTCTTTCTATTATATTTAAAAAGGTGTTCAAAATTACCTAAACAGTGTAGAATTGTAAAAGTTTTTAGCAGATATGCCATTATAAACTAGATTTAACATATATAATATGCTGTTGAAATACAGTAAAACCTAAAATGATCTTTCACATGAATGATGAGTTTAATAGCTACTGTGTGTATACCATGAATTCATGAATGAAAAATGACTCAAAATTATATTAATATTACTTTTACACAATCAAATTCAGGATTTCTTCTTTTGTTACTTCTTTATTTCTTATGTGAATAGCCCCCTTTCTGCATTTCCTTCAGATCTAATTTACTGTTTAACACAAACACACACACACATTATTTGCTTAGTGAAAGATAAAAGAGCCAGATGACTTTTTGGGGCGGCCAGACTTCCATTCTCCCATTGGGTTCTGTCAGCTTCTCTCTGCCTTCCCTCATTTGCTGCTATATATTCCCCTACATTTTATACCCAAGATTATCTATGTTTACCTCCTCATTCTGTGGTTTTCCCCACCTTCCAGTATACCCCTAGTTACTTATCCTCCATCCAAAAGGTATGGTCTTAATCAGGAGAATGAGGCAAAGCTGTGGGAGTAGAAACTAAGGATGACCCTAACAGAGGCAGGACTTCATAGCCTCTGGAATGTTTAAATACCTTGTATGAATGCTCTAAAGATCAAACAAAAGAAAACACTTAATAACAGGATGTGAATAATATAGAGTGGGTTAGAGAAAAACCGGGATCTGCCTATTTTGATGGCGGTTGGTGTTTTTAGTAGCAGGTGACCTTTCCTGTCTAACTGCTATGAAATTTTACCATCAGTGGCATTCACAAAGACTATAGCTTAGGTGTTGAGTGCAGAGTTCCTGAGGAGAGAAGATAGTGGTGAAGTAGGTGGGACTTGAGCCCACTTGCTTGTGCACTGAACTAGGACACTTAGGTGATCTTCTGAAAAAACGAGTGAACAGCCAACAGAATCTTAGCTGATATGAAGTTTAGAAGCCAAAGTGTGCAGGGAATGCTTCAAAATGGGTGGTAAAAAGGTCTGTTAGGCCAACAGAGAAGGTCCCAGGGCTTGGCACTAAAGACCAGGGCTGCCGGGGACATTGGAAGAGAGCTGGGTCAGTGATAGCAGCCTAGCGGCTCCTACCCCTCCCAGGGTGGGGAAGTCCCAGACCTGCACCAGGGGAGACCTGGAAGCATAAAGTCACTGGGATGGGTGGGGAGGTGGGGTGTATAAAAAGCAACAAACACACACATAGCCAGCGACATATCTAGGCTGGGGTGATGGTCGCTGGCCAGTGTAGTGGCAAAAAAAATTAAGGGATTCCGATGGCACCTGGAGGTGGGAGAAGAGGTGGGCTGTGACTGGCTATGACCTAGACAGACTCTGGACTTGCCAGAAAGTTGGAGTATATGAAAAGCTGGGGGGTGGCTTAGAGCGGCAGTGGCGCCCACAAAGACTTTTTTCCAAAGGGGAACTAAAACACACTGTGTAGGGACCCATGTGCAGTGGCAGGCCAATAACGAGGGAGGGGTGTGTGAGTTATTTGCTCTCGTTCAGGACACCTCATGGATTGATTAAAGGGGTGCAAAGGGAGGTGGCTTATTGGGGATAGCCTGGAGCAACTGCACAGAGTGGAGAGTGTGCATGCAGTATAGTGCTCTGGGAATGTTGACTGGAAACTGGGCACCTGTGATTATCATACTCCACACTAAGCCGCCATCCTTGCAGAACCCAATTGTCTGCAGGAACCAAGACGATCTGCAAAACCAGCTGGGCAGGCTTAACAATCAGCAGGAGGCTTTTTTTTTTAAGAGCAATACATTAAGACCTAGAGCTGAGAGAAAACCACAGACACATACAGAAAGAAGTCAAAAGGTGAAAACCAACAGTTGAGACAAATTTCACTTTGTTCTTCACCAGAACTTGAATGTTATTTTTATTTCTTTCTTCTTTCCATTTGTTTAGTTTCTTGTTTGTCTTGTTTTTTATTCTACCTTTCATATGGCATTTTAATTTTTCTTCTTTCACTTCACTCATATTCCAAATAACTCACTACTCTTGGTTTACTTTTTATTTGTTTTATTCACATTATATGTTTCTTAACATACTATTATTATTCCAAATACCACACAGTACCCTTACCTGACCTTAATCCATTTTGACATCTTTCTGAGCTTTAATACTGTTGGTGTAAACTTTATTTTCTCTCACACTGTGCCAAGTTTCTATCCCTTACTCTCACTATTTCTCCTCCATCTAACCTCTCATAAGTTCTCTTCTTTCTTAAGTCAGCTCACATTCTTTTTCCCCCTTTTACGAGAGTCTTATTTCTTTTCCACCTTTTATAAACAGTGGCTAATTGGGTGAAATACCATGGTTATCACTGTACTTCTCCAAAGGAACTCCTGATTGTTCACTATTTGTTTGTACTTTAAATAGCATAGAATGCTCTCCCTTTGTCTTACTCT